GATAATTAGGGGTTTGGGATGGATACGTACACACTGCCATATTTAAAACAGATACCCAACAAGGACCTACTGAAGAGCACATGGAACTCTGCTCAGTGCTATGTGGCAGTGGGGATTGGTGGGGAGTTTGCGGGACAATGGTACATGTATACGTATGGCCAAGTCCCTTCGCTGTTGGCCTGAAACTTATCACAACGTTGTTTGTTCATCAGCTTTGCTGCTGCTGCTTAGTCCCTTCAGTCGTGTCCAACTCTGTGCGACCCTAAGGACTGCACACTGCCAGGTTCCTCTGTCCATGGGATTCTCTAGGCACGAGTACCAGAGTGGACTGCCATGCCCTCCTCCAAGGGATCTTCCTGACCCAGGGATGGAAACCAGGTCTGCGGCATTGCAGACAGATTCTTTACCACTGAGCCACCAGGGAAGCCCCTAATCAGCTGTATACAGCAATACAAAATAAAGTTTAAAGTGGCCTTTCTTGTATTTTAGCTTCTATTTCCAAGTATTTTCTTGGACGAGGGCTTTGAGGTTATCCAATCTATCATAATTAAGGAAACAGAGGCATCTGAAGATTTTAAATCCGATTGGCATCATGAAGGTTACTCATATACTCAACAAGACCAGTTTCAGAAAACTGGTGAGGGGAGAATGCAAACCACTGGGTTCAAGAGTTAAGTGTGAGATCAATTTCAAAACTTACTACAAAGCTACAATACGCAAGTGCAGTACTGGCATAAGGATAGACATACAGATCCATGGAACAGAATGAGACTCCAGAAATAAACTGCTACATTTATGGTCAATGGATTTGCAACAAGGGTGCCAAAATAATTTCAGTTGGGAAAAAATAATCTTTTTAGCAAATAATTCTGGGGCAACTGGATATACACATGCAAAAGAATGAAACTGACCTTGACCTCAAACCACAGGCAAGAATAAATTAAAAAAGGATTACAAACCTAAATATAAGAGCAAAAACTACAAAACTCTTAGAAGAATGAATACATGTAAATCTTTGTGACCTTGGATTAGGCAATAGATTCTTAGATATGGCACCTAAAGCAACCAAAGAAAAAAACGGAAAATTGGAATGCATCAAAATTGAACGTTTGTGTTTCAAAGGATACTATAGACAAAATAAAACACAACTGATAGGAGAAAATATTTACAAATCATGTATCTGGTAAGAGACCTGAATCCAGAATATATAAAGAACTCTTACAACTCAATAATAAAAAAGATGAACTGATTTTAAACCGGGTAAAGGATCTAAAAAATATTTCTCCAAAGAAGATATATACAAAACCCCGGAGCGAGGTTCTACCTACCCGAGGCCGCTGGTGTGCGGAAACCCCGGGGGAAGCCACCGTCACCATGTCTGACCAGGGAGCAAAACCTTTAACTGAGGACTTGGGGGATAAGAAGGAAGGAGAATATATTAAACTCAAAGTCATTGGACAGGATAGCAGTGAGATTCACTTCAAAGTGAAAATGACGACACATCTCAAGAAACTCAAAGAATCATACTGTCAAAGACAGGGAGTTCCCATGAATTCACTCAGGTTTCTCTTTGAAGGTCAGAGAATTGCTGATAATCACACTCCAAAAGAACTGGGAATGGAGGAAGAAGATGTGATTGAAGTTTATCAGGAACAAACAGGGGGTCATTCAATGGTTTAGATATTCTTTTTTTTTTCTTTCCCCTTAATCCTTTTTTATTTTTAAAAATAGTTCTTTTGTAATGTGGTGTTCAAAACAGAATTGAAAACTGGCACCCCATCTCTTTAAAACATCTGGTAATTTGAATTCTAGTGCCCATTATTCATTATTGTTTCTTTTCATTGTGCTGATTTTTGGTGATCAAACCTCAGCCCCCTTCATATCACTCTCTCCTTTTTAAAAATTACACGTGTGCATAGAGAGCCCACCTTTTCCAGGACTGTGCATTTGCAGGCTTGTGATAAATAAGATCAACTAGTGCAAGTGCTCCTAATGACTTTCCAATTGGCCCTGAAGTTCTAGCATGTGATTGCTTCACTCCTCGACTATGACTTTCAGTGGGAGATGGAAGTTTTTTGGAAAACAGAACTGTGGAAAAATGACCTTTCCTTAACTTGAAGTTACTTTTAAAATCTGAGGGTCTGGACCAAAAGAAGAGGAATATCCAGTTGGAGTCAAAATGACAGAGAATAATGACTAACTCCAAAGATGGCTTCACTGAAGAGAAAGCATTTTAAGATAAAAGAAAAATCTTGTCAGAAGATCCCAGAAAAGATCTAATTTTCATTAGCAGTTAAAGTTATTCATGCAGAAGTGTATACAACAGAACACTGCTCTTTTTATTTGTACTTTTTGGCCTGGGATATGGGTTTTAAATGGACAGTGTCTGTACCAGCTTCATTAAAATAAACAAAATATTTGTAAAAACTGTAAAAACAAAAAAAAAGAAGATATATAGAAAGAGACAATAAACACATGAAAAGATGCTCACTAATTACTATGAAAACACAAATCAAAACCACAACGAGATACCACTTCACATCTACTAGATGGCAAAAATCAAAAAGACAGACTATAAGAGTTTTGGGCCAGGAAGTGGAGAAATTGGAATCCCCACACATTGTTGGTATGAATGTGAAATGGTACAGCTGTTTTGGAAAACAGTTTGGCACAGAGTTATCATGTGACTCCAATAATTTCACTCCTAGGTATATACCCAAGACAACCGGAACATACATTTACACAGAAACTTGCACACCCATGTTCAGGTTAAGATTTTTCATAAAAGCCAAAAACTGGAAACAGGTCAAATGTTCAGTGATAAATGGATAAACAAATTGTGACTATATCCGTATAAATACTGTAGTCATAAAGAGGAATGAAGTACTGAGACATGCTATAAAATATATGAACCCTTAAAACATTATGCTAAGTGAAAGACATTGTATGACTTTATTTACATAAAATATCTAGAATAGGCAAATCCATAGAGACAGAAAGTAGATTAGTGGCTGCCAGGGGCTGGAGGAAGAGAGGAGGATGAGGGGCTGCTAATGACTATGAGATTTACTTGCGAGGTGATGAAAATATTCTGGAATTAATGGTGATGGCTGTGTAACCTTGTGAATATATTGAAAACCACTGAATTTTATGCTTTAAAATAGTGAATTTTTTGGTATGTGATTTATCTCTCAATAAAAAAAGAAATGTTAATGAAGTAAAATGCTACTATTATTGTTATGAGTAATAATTCATCTGTCATCTCTGATCCAATACTTTCATTTTCTACCAACCATGAAACTGCCGCAGGCTAGTCTGTTGGTGTGCAAGAAGGTAAAAGTCTCAGACACTCACTTCACAGTTCTCGACAAGGCAGGCATTAATGTTAAAATCAGACATTTCTTTTTAAAATCCTACTTCTTTAGCTCAAGTGTTTCCTCTGCTAGGAGGCTAGTCTCTGTACGCTGAAAGAAACCACTGTGGGGAAGGCTGTTGCTTTCTAGTGAAGTGAGCAAGGACCAAAGGTGCCCTATACCACAGCGTGGGTCAGCATGGCCAAGCAAGCCCCCGGGGCCTGGCCGTGAAACAGGATCCACTGCAGAGAGGAGGCAGAGCCGCTCAGCGCCTTGCCTGCCCCAGACCACCGCACCAACTACTGCAGGGCTCCTGCCTTCATCTCACTGTCAAGTAACGGGTTACACCAGCCTGCCAAGGGGAAGGGGAATCAGTCACAATCCTCCCTTCTCTGAGATGCCAAGCATCCCCCAACACATCCACTTTGACTCAACAAGATTTAACTCACTGGGTCAAAATGAATTCACTCTCTGTGCTCCAATACCACTTTCTTCTCTCTTTGTCAGACAAAAGTCTAATAGGTCCATCTCTTTCTATGGTGAGTCACTGACACATCTTATCGACTATGTGGTTTGGTACTTGCAGGCAGTGGACATGGACTCAACTCCTGGCCGACCACTCCCTGAACCCGTGCACTTGGCTAAGGAGGACCTCGCAGAGCCTCATCTGCCTCGTCTTCAAGACGGGGACACCACCCATCATGCAGAGCTATTACGAGAATTTAATAAAGCCACACTAATTAAGGATTTAGCCTAGCTCCTGGAGCATATCTGAGGATTAAAATATTATAACAGTGTAAAAGGAATAAAGTACGACTTGGGCAGAGAAGACTGAGTTTAGCTGATTGGCAAGCGGGCACGAGACCAGGACATTTTTGAAAGATGTGTGACATGCAGTAGGGACTCCACAGAAGTCAGTTTCTCTCATGCTTCATCTAAGACTGAGTTTGAGCATGCTTTATTTTTCAGCATGCTGAGAGTGCCTCGGGCACATTATTTTGCATAATGTGAAAAATTTTTAATGCTCCAAAAAAAAAAAAAAAACCAGGGGATGCCTCAAATCAGGAGATTATGCCTTCATTCTCTTTTCATCAGTAGTTCAAATGTACTTATTACAAATTTTGAATATTTATGTTGTTCTATAATTATTTCGGGTGTGGTGGTCTGGTCTTCCCAAATAGACAGGAAGATTCCTGGGGTCAAATATGGCTGTTTATATTCTACTCTCTGAACACACAGCTACTGACTGAACTGGTTCATTTCAAAGTGAAATGAGCATAGTTTTTTGACTGATACCCCACGGCTCCCTATGATCAAAGAATTAGCAAATGAACCCTCATAAGGCCCCCTTCCCAAAGGGAAGCGGCCTTACTGCAGCCCTCCATTCCAAGCGATGAGGAGGATGGCCACCCACCCAGGTCTACACGGATGGCTGGGTGCAGGATGCTTCACGCTAAAACTGGGAAAGCCCAGGGCAAACTGTGAGCTGACTGTGAGTTGGTCAGCCTAGTCACCAACTAGTGACTGCTTGCATATTCAAAGCTCTAAAATACCCTTTAAAACTGGTAAAATTCTTACTGGCAGGTTTAGGTCATATGGAGGAAGCCAAAGAAAATGAGAGGCAACCATGAACAGAGTGAGGCATACCTCAGAGATATCCAGCGGGAGATTGCCAACGTACACCTCTGTCTCTCTTTTCTTGAATTCTAAAATAGCAAAAAAGAAAAAAAAAAGGCAGGTGTAAGGTTGAAGGAGTTAGAGAAGTTAGAACATGTGCTAAATGATGCATTTTTCTCAATGTTAAAACATATACACACATTCCCCCTCAAACATTACTCCTCCATGAACAAAAAATAGCTAAATAGAATTCAACGGGTCAGCAAACACTTGCCAGTATTATGGGAGTGGTTCCGAGTTAAGCACTGGCCTTGGACATCACTGAATTCAAGGCAGAGGTGCAATCTCTGGGGCAGAAGAGGCAGGGAGGACAACGAGTCGTTAGCACACCAGGAATCCAGTGCTTTCAATGGGGTATTAGTGAAGCTTCAAAGTTAACAGTCAACTGAAGGAGGTGAGGAAGGGGATTAATGCAAGAGGGAGGTGGAAGAGAATCCAGGCAGAGGGCATAGCACATGCAAAGACATGGACACAGGAAAGGGCCCGGCTTGTTTGGGAGTTTGCATGGGGTGGGGAATAGCTAGACCAAACGCTGCATGTGGGTGAGCAGAAAAAGTGGGGGCAAGAAGGGCAGGCCAGGCCAACTGCTGAAATCACTGACTGCTGCCCACAGCTCTCAGGGGAACCCGCTGGCTGTGAGAGGAGGGCAAGGGTTTAATCAGAGAGCTGGTATCAACACATCTATGTTTTAGAGCGGTGCCACTTTGGAGATGGTGGAGAGTGAAATGGAAAGAGGCAAGGATTAGAGTATGGGGTGAGAAGCAGCCGACGCGACAGTGACTGTGGGTCTGTGTGCACGGTGGGTGGCAGGGGGACACATCCACCATGTGAAAAGAAATGTGGGGGCTGACTAGAGCAAGGACAGATAAGGTGGATGCCAGGTTTCATGCTTGAACAGAAATTGAGTAGATTAACTGGGATCCAGGTTACAGTCTGAGGGTCCCAGCACCAAACACCACCCCCCAGGCTAACTCACTTGGAGATTTCTGCTCTTCCAACACGCCATTCTCCCCAAATACTTTTGCAGAGGGTCGGAAGTCACTGCTGCTCCAGGACCTGTCAAATGCAGGACTTAGCACTGCACCTACCAAGGCCAAACTCCAGTAAAAGGAGTTTGGGCATAACAAGCAGGGCCTTGCATAAGCCTCCATACTCTCTTCCTGACAGAGGGATTCCTGTCCTCCTTCCGGACTCAGGTTCCAAGCCAGGAAGCCCTCCACTGGACTTTTTTAATCCTTAATAGTTAAAGCAGATTCCCCAGTGGCTCGGCAGTAAAGAATCCACCTGCAACGCAGGAGACACAGGAGATGCAGGTTCAAGCCCTGAGTCGGGAACATCTCCTAGTAAAGGAAATGGCAACCCACTTCAGTATTCTTGCCTGAAAAATCCCCATGGACAGAGGAGTCTGGCTGGCTACAGTCTGTGAGGTTGCGAAGAGTTGGACAGAACTGAAGTGACTGAGCATAAGCATGAAGGTCAAAATCAACAGACAAGAAATGCTGAGGTTGACTCCTAAACTCTGGGCAGGACAAGGCAGGTGGAAGAGGAAGAGAAGGCTGCGGGGTGGAAGAAGGCCTGTTTATCAACAAAAGGAAGCAACTTACATGCTGCAGTTTCTTTCCAACCGGATCTCCTGCAAAGCCAATCAGCCACAGTTTTAGAGGAATGCCAGATCAGTCACCACCACATTGCCAAATAGGTACTGTTGCAGGCAGAATAATGTCCCCACCCCCAGCAAAGTGGTCCACATCCTAATCCCCAGGACCTGTTAAGGGTTCTGGTGACCAATTCTAATGTAAGGGGAGCAATTTTCCCACACCATCAAGTGATGCTCCAGACACCAGCTGGGTGGCCTAAAATTCAACTCAATTCTGACACTATCTACCCAGAGATAGCATCAATTTCACAGATTAAGGGATCAGTACCACAGGACTGCCAACCTCCCTCCCCACTCCTTCAGATGTCGGTCGCCTGCAAACCCAGATGGTCACCTGTGCTTCTGACTGACCAGTTATAGACTAGAGGTTCCCACAACCTCTTCTTGGGTTCCATCAATTTGCTAGAGTGGCTTACATCTCAGAGAAACATCTTCCTTACTAGATTACCATTTATTTTAAAAGGATATAACTCAGGAGTAGCAGATGGAAGAGATACACAGGGCAAGGTATAGGGAAAGAGCAGAGTTTCCATGCTCTCCAGGTGCGCCACTGTCCCGAAATCACTACAGCAGCAGTCCCTAAGCTTTTTGGCACCAGAGACCGGTTTCACAGAAGACAATTTTTCCATGGACGGGAGGGTGGGGGTGGTTTAAGGATGATTCAAGCACACTACACTTATTGTGCACTTAATTTCTATTATTACATCAGCTCCACCTCAGATCATCAGGCATTAGATCCTGGAGGTTGGGGATCCCCGTTCTATTGTGTTCACCAACCCAGAAGCTCTCAGAGTCCATACTTTGGGGGTTTTATGAAGGCCTCTTGGCAGAGGCATGACTGATTAGCCCTTCTTCTATCCCCAGAGGTGGGGGGCGGTGGGGGAGATGAATGTAAACTCTGACCCTCTAACCAGTCAGCCCCCATCCTTAGGTTACCTGGTGCTTGCTAAGGTCACCTCAACATGACAAAAGACACCTTCCCATCTTGCTTCATTTAGGAAATTCCAAGGATTTTAGAAGCTCAGTGACAGAAGAAGATGAAGATCAAATATATATATATATCAAATATATATATATTTATTATGAATCACTATATCACACCTATGAATATGTTTAATTACATGGCAAGGGGGAAATAAAGCTGCAGATGGAATTGAAGTCGCTAATCGGCCGACCTCAAAATACAGGGATTATCTGTAAGGGCCTAATGTAACCACGGGAATCCTTAAAAGTCGAATAGGGAGGCAGAGAAGACAGTCATATAAACAGACATGACAAGAAAAGCAAGACTAAAGCAATGCAATATGAGAACCAAATTACTATTGCTGGCTATGAAGACAAAGGAAGAGGGCCATGAACCAGAGAAAACAGGTGGCCTCTAGAAGCTAAAAAAGGCAAGAAAAAACAGATTCTCCTCGGAGGCTTCCAGAAAGAATACAGCCCTCTTGACACCTTGATTTTAGCCCAGTGACACATGTGTCAGGCTTCTGACGAACAGAATTGTAGGTTGTGTTGTTTAACCCACTAAACAAGTGGTAATTTGTTATGACAGCAAATAGAAAATACAGGTACTAGGAGCAACTTTAAAACCACAGCTGCCTCTGCACAGTGGCCACCTGCGGAGTTAAAACAGATGCAGCTGAGTGCAGCCCAGAGACCTTGGGCTTGTCTTACCCGTCAAATGGGAATCACAACACCTATGCCAGCACATGAAAAGATGCTCCACCTCACTAATTACTAGAGAAATGCAAATCAAAACTACAATGAGGTACCATCTCACACCAGTCAGAATGGCCATCATCAAAAAGTCTACAAATAACCTGGACTTCCCTGGTGGTCCAGTGGTTAAGAATCCACCTGCCAATGCAGGAGACACAGGTTTGATCCCTGGTCCAGGAAGATCCCACATGCCATGGGGCAACTAAGCTTGTGAGCCACGACAACAGAAGAAGCCACTGCAATGCAGCCCATGCACCACAGCTGGAGACGAGCTCCCATTCACTGTAACTAGAAAAAGTCCACTATGCCCAGCAACGAAGACCCAGTGCAGTCAAAAATAAAAATAAATAAATAAAATAAATTCTGGAGAGGGTATGGTGAAAAGGAAACCCTCCTACACTGGTGGAAATGTAAATTGGTATAGACACTGTGGAAAACAATACGAAGAAAACTAAAAATATAATCAGAAAACTAAAAATATAATTACCATATAATCCAGAAATGCTACTTCAGGGCATCTATCTAGACAAAACTATAATTCAAAAAGACACAGGTACCCTTATGTTCATAGCAGCACTATTCACAATAGCCAAGACATGGTAACATCCTAAATGTTCACAGACAGATGAACAGATAAAAAAGATGGTGTACATATATATATATATATACACACTGGAGTACTACTTAGCCACTAAAAAGAACAAAGTAATGCCATTTGCAACAACATGGCTACAACTGGAGAGTATCACATTAAGTGAAGGAAGCAGAAGGAGAATGACAAATACCATAGGGTATCACTAATATGCAGAATCTAAAATATGACACAAATGAACCTATCTATGGAACAGAAACAGAATCATGGACATAGGAAGGTAGGGGTTAGCAAATGTAAGCTTTTATACATAGAATGGATAATCAACAGGGTTGAACTGTATAGCACAGGAACTACACTCAATAAATAAACTATAATGGAAAAGAATATTTCAAAAAAGAATGTACATATGTATAACTGAACCACTTTGTTGTATAGCAGTAATTAACACAACATTGTAAATCAGCTATAAAATAAATAAACGCCAATGCCATAGATCACAAGGGTGAAGTGAGATAAAGCACTTAAAGCGCTTGCCACGAATTAAGAGCTCAATAAATGGCAACCACTGTGCTTATTTTTATAGATTTCATTGGCACTTTTCTATCATGCTTCAGAGTAATACTGTCCCATTTTACTGATGGGAAGGTCAAAGCAAAAGGGCATCAGATGATTTGATTAAGGTTATAAGATACTGAGGTAATTCAGGTCTGTGACCTCAAAGCCTTGGTTTTTTCAAAATCATTCTGAAGGAATTTTTTTCTTTACTTCAGGAGAAACAAAAACTAAAACTTTAAATTTTAAAAGAAGGTAGTAACTCTGCTTTAAATTGTTTCTAGCTGTAGAAAGAAACTGCTCTAGTAGCAACTAAATTTAAATTGAGCTAACAGTGATTAAGATAATTCAAAGGCTGAAGTATTGATGAATAAAACAGAAAGGTTTGTGGGCAGAATCAGGCTACAGGTGTTACTCCCAAATTCCTGGTAATCCCTGGAAGTCTATGGGCTTCTAGAACTGAGCAGGCAACACTTCTAAGCAAGGGCCCCGCATAAATCTTTCAAGGATGCTTTTAAGGGCCTGCCAGGTGCTATGCTAACTAAACGGCTAATGCACAGTCTCATTTAATCCTCACGGAAATTCTCAGAACTTGTCATTATCACCCCACTGTACAAACGAAGTCCTGGAGGCTCGGAGGAGTAACCAGGTAGTCTGAGAGTCCATTCAGTCTCCACGGTTTGTAGCGGAATTAGAACATACTGCATTAGCCTCAGCAGCACTTTCAGATTTTTAAGCTAAAAAGTTTTTAAACTACTTCGAAAGGGAGGAAGATGGCAGAGGCGTCTTTTCACGTAAAGTGCCCCGCAGTACTGCACAAAGTGATCCCCATCTGCAAGAACTCAGTCTCTGCGGTCCACTTCCAGCCGCCAACCCCACTAAAAATTAGCTCTGCCCCCAGGCCAGAGCAAGCGACAACGTCCGAGGGGGAACATTCGCCCCCCCACCCTGGAGTGAAAATGAGAGGTACAGTTTCCACAAGTGCCTCCTGACGCCCGCTACTCCCCGTCCGGCAGCCCGGGGCCGGGAACCAACAAACCATACCTCTCCCGGGCCAGGTTCGTCTAGCCAGCAGCCCAGACGCCAAGCCTTCGCGCCTCCTCTCTAGAAGCTCCGCCTCCTCCGACGCCAGCGGGGCGCGGGGCGGGGCCACCCTCCGCAGCCAATCCCCCACCGCGGCTGCAGCCCGATGGGGCGGGAACAGCTGGGTGCTCTCGGCGCCGAGCCAGCCGTTTTACCGGGGACCGTAGCTGCACCGGCTCCTGGGCCAGTGCCCGCGGCCTCTTTCCCCGCTTTTAGTAGGCACTCTCCCACACACATCCCCAAAATATGCTTGCAGAGAGAGTGGAGCGAGTGACCGCGACGCACCTCTTTTGGAAGTGGAAGAGCTCCCATCCTGGGTTGGAGAGGTGCACGTGGCGCACTCGGGCTGAGTTTGAAGACAGCGCATGGTAGTGATGGGGAGCTGCTTGTGCAAAAAGTGGGAGGCCCTAACCACGCGGGCACAACCAGTCAGCACGTAAAGCTGCTGCTACCTTCCCCTGAACATGCACCCCCAGACCCGCCTCTACAGAGGCGCTGACCCCGGCGCCCCCGGATCTGGGCGGGAGGTGGCGCGCGGGGAGGCGCCAGCCTAGGAGGGGAGGGGCGCGCGGAGGGGGCGGTCGGCCCGCTGGCTGCCCACTGTCCGTCGCGGTGCCGGAGACACTCCCGCCACCTCCGCTCCGTCCCCCCTGGTCCCCGCGAGTGTAGGCAGGGCTGTCCCGGGGCTTCCGTGGGCCCGGCCTCTCCCACTTCTGGAGGAAAAAGCAGGGGAAGCCCCCGGCGCCCGCCGCCTCCGGAAAGCCGCGGAACCCCCGGCCGTGCAGGCGCTGAAGACGACCTCGGGCGGGGCCCCGGTGCGTCGTGCCTGTCGCCGTCCGTGTCCGGAGCGGCGGCCAGCGTCCGCCCGCTCGGCGCCCTGAGCCCCCTGCCCCGGGCCGTAGGGGCCCCACCCTGCGGGGCGTGGGCGACGGCCGGCCGGGGACCAGCAGAGCAGCCGTCGCGGGGCCTTGCCGCGGCCTCCAGCAACCCAGCCCCGGGGAATGCAGTGGCCCCCGGCCCCTGGCGCCTCTCCGTGTCTAAGCTGGGCCTCCTCGCTCGCCTGCTCCGCGGCCACGACGCTCCTGAGCCGCGCCGGCCGGGCCCCCCTCATGGCGGCCAAGTGGTTCAAGGAGTTCCCCCTGAACCTGAAGACCGTGTCGGAGCGGGCCAAGCCCGGCGGCGGGGGAGGCGGCAAACTGCGCAAGAACTCGGAGGCGGGCTGCTCCGGGCCCGCCGCGGGCAAGGGCCGCAAAAACTCGGCGGCCGAGCTGGGCAGCGGCCGGGCCGGGGTCGGCCCCCCCAAGGACAGCCGGCTGTCCCGGGATAGCCTGCAGGGCCTGATTCAGGCCGCCGCAGGCAAAGGCCGCAAAAACTCCCGGACCACCGAGGAGGAGCCCCACCGGGGCGCGGCCAAGAGCTCAGGCTGCAGCACCTACATCAACAGGCTCATCAAAGTGGACACTCAGGAGAAGAACGGGAAGAGCATCTACCCCAGCAGCAGCAGCAGCAGCAGCAGCAGCAGCAGCAGCTCTTCCTCCGCGTCCTCTTCCCCTTCATCTCTGGGCCCCGAACTGGACAAGGGCAAGATTATTAAGCAGCAAGACACGGTAAGAATACAGTCTCCCTTGGACCACCTCTGCCCTGCTGAAGCCTAACAGTGGGAAGGGAGCATCGTGAACCCGCTGAACTCTAGGGTTTTTTATACCTCAGAGACGATGAGGATGTATTTTCCCCTTCTGCCATTGATGACCATTTAAAATCATTTGTTTAATCTTGAAAAATTCTTATTCTAGCCTTGGGGAACTTGGCAGAAATGTACTTTCCGTTTAATTTTGTTATCAGTGTAGAAGAATAATTGAATGAGACAATCGGGTGCTTTGTTGAATTTGACTCCCTTGTAGATGTTGTATATTTTAATTTAGAAATCCAGGGGAATTGCAAAGCTAGACTTGTGTATAACTTTTATTCTTCTTGAGCATAAGGAATGGTCACCTTTAAACTGGTTAAGTATGAATTTTAAACCTCCAGGGAATGGATTGGCCACTACCCACCCTCTCTACTGGAAACTCCATCATTCCTTGCACTTTTACCCAATATAGAGTTTCTCCACACTTCACTAGCACCCCAAGTTTACAGCCCTTTCATTCATCCCGTTGGAGAAGGAATTAGCAACCCACTCCAGTATTCTTGCCTAGAGAATCCCGTGGACAGAGGAGCCTGGTGGGCTGCCATCTGTGGGGTTGCACAGAGTCGGACACAACTGAAGTGACTTAGCAGCAGCCTCATTCATCCCATGAACATTTGCTGTGCAGAGCCATGTAGGATAGGGGGCAAGGAGCTCTAAGGGCTGGGACTGTGGAGGATACAGAACAGGACAAGGAAATGCCCTGAAGGAAATTACAGATCAGGAGAGAAGGTGTTTCCTGCTTCTTACACGCCAGGGGTTTTCTGGGTACTGTCCAATGTGAGACAGTTAAGAAGTGTAAAGAGACCCACTTCATTCGTACAGAGATGAGTTGGGGTTTTGTTAGTTTTTAAAAAGAGAGAAAGCTCACACCCAGCTTTCAGACTCTAGCCCAGGTGATCACTTCCCTGTCATGAGAACTTTCTCTTGTCCAGGCTTCAAACATGCTGCCCACCTGGGTGGGGTCAGGATCAGGTAGCACATACCATGTGTGTCTGCACTGGCCCTTCTGTTCATTCCTCCATTTATTCTGTCCAGGTATTTACAGCATGCCTACCTGAGTGCCAGACACTGGTGGGAGAGCTTGGGAAAATGGCCAGCTCACCCAGACATTAGTCAGTGGTCTCTGGGTGTGTTTACCTAGATCATAAGCACCTAGCAGCCGAGTGCTGAGTATCATGCTTCTTGCTCCTCGTTGTACCTTGGGATGCAGTATACCTGAACAGGCAAGCAGCATGGAGTGACAGAGGGAGTGGCAACCACAGTCCTCTGCGGTGACTGCCCAGTTATTTCCACGGTCATTGCTTCTCGATGTCTGAAGTTTCTTAGGCCGTCTCCTCCCAGGAAGAGAACTCTCATCCAGGCTGTCCCCTCCTCCTCACTTCTCCCCATTTATCTGGATTTCTTTCCCAGTCCCAGTGGCACATCTCCGTGAATTCTTTGGAGAATATAATCAGAGATTGTATGAAGGGCTGGGCTTCTTCCCTTAATTTTGATTCACCTTTGGTTTTTATTCCTCTCTCTTTAACTGGAATACATGCTTTATTTATACTATCCTAGCTGTTTATTTGTGGAGCCATATTGATAATAGAGGAAGTGCTGTGCTTTTTTAAAATGAATGTTTCTTGGGACTTCCCTGGTGGTGGTCCAGCAGTTAAGACTCTGAGCTTGCACTGCAGGAGGCAGGGGTTCTTACCTTGGTCATGGAACTAAGATCCTGGGTGCCTTACAGTGCAGCCCCCCTCCCCCAAAAAAGAATATATCTTTTCTCCATAAAATTTCCATAAAACTCTTCCTTCCTGAGATTACTTGTCAGACGCAGGCTCCCTAAGTTCCCACATTGTCACCTAGCTGCTGCGCTGCAGAACGATTGCACTCACACACCTTCCCAGGCACCTTCCTGTCTTGGGAAGGATGGATGCTTTCTGTCACAAGTACGGATGAAAACTTCCCTGGTGGCACAGTGGATAAGAATCCGCCTGCCAGTGCAGGGGACACGGGTTCAACCCCTGGGCTAGGAAGATTCCATATGCGTCAGAGCAGCTAAGCTCGTGCTCTACAACTTCTGAGCCCACACTCTAGAGCCTGCGAGCAACTTACTGAGCCCGAGTGCCGCAACTACTGAAGCCTGTGTGCCCGGAGCACCTGTGCTCCACAACAGGAGAAGCAATGAGAAGCACTGGCACCGCAACGGAATGTAGCCTCCTTACCACAACTGGAGAAAGTCCACACACAGCAATAAAGACCTCGTGCAACCAAAAAATGAAAAGAAAGAAATTTAAAAAACTATCTGATTGTTGTCTATGAGAATCAGTGTGTCTATAAATCATTGAACCTAGAACCCCCACAGTACTGTTTAGCTCTGACCTCTTTCTTAGTCTTCTTATTATGAAGCTATCTCTTTAGAGCTGTTACAAATTCCTTGAGGACAGGTCTCGGTCTTATTTTATTCCCCCTCAGTACCTGGCCAGTGCCAGTGGATGTGCAGTATCAGTGAGTGATGAGCTGACTTACCATGGCGATGTTGCTCAAATAGTTGGCATTTAAAAAAAAAACCGAAATCATAGAAGAGGTAGTAGACCAGTTCATTTTCTTCTACTCTAAAGGCATAGATATCCTCCACCCTCTGCCATCCACCCTGCCACACTGGAACCAGTAAATGCCTTTTTGCTTGGCGGGAGAGAGGGAGGTGAACAGAGCCTTGGGGATAAGCAGGAGAGCTTGAATAGATTGTTGCCAATCAATTATACTACTAAAATAAACCAGATGTTTGTCCAGCTGGGTGGATAATAAGGTGATCAAGTGCAAAGGCTCTTCAGAACTGGTTGGAAATTTTGAACTCTTTTGGGGTCTGCAGGTTTTTAGTAACCTTTTCTGATATCACTGTCCTGGTATGTGATAATCGTTAGCAACTTCCCTGCTGGTTTTCTCACAGGTCATCATTTTAGAAGACTATGCTGACCCTTACGATGCTAAACGGACGAAAGGTCAAAGGGATGCAGAGAGAGTAGGGGAGAACGACGGTTATATGGAACCCTATGATGCCCAGCAAATGATAACAGGTTTGTAACTAGGAGCTGCTTTATACTGAAATCTCACACCCAACTTGGAATGTGGTAAAAAAAATAAATAAAAAAGAACCAGTGTGTATTTGGGGAAGAGAGGTGAAGGAACTTTATCAGATCCTCCTGCAGGGAAGAAACAGAAATTAGACCCAAAACTAAAGTCAAAATATCTAGCTAACATCCTTAATGGTATTGTATCCTTCAGTTTTAGAACTTGTGGGGGTCTTTAAAGTTTTTCTAATTCTATGCAAAGTGACACTTGTGAATTTGCAGATCTTCTCAGGATGTCATCTCCAGTTTTCAGATAATTTAAATATACCTCTTGGCCACTGTCAAGACTTTGACATCCATAACGGGAGTCATAAATCTGTACCAAGGGGGAGTAATTCCGACTTGTAAGTTGAACAAACACTCTTGTCATTTTTTTTTGGTGTCACTCTTTTCCTTTTATTCCTAATTCTCTTAAGTTGCTGTAAACAATACTTAAACTAGTTATTTAGATTTATTTGTGAAATTTTAGAGTAAGTTTTCTTTACTCCATAATGAAAAACTGCCGTTTCTAA